CCTAGATTGGTACGGCTCGCCGGTGTCTCAGCGCTTGGCCCAGCGCCGCCCTTTCGCTCGGGAGCCGGCCCCCGGAGCTGAGGCCACCAACTTCTTCTGGGTGGTGCAGGTGAGTGGGGGCAGGGCAGTATCCCTGCCTGCGTGTGTGGGGGCGGGGCGGTGTGTGTGTTACCATGGCGATGTCTCAGTGCTTGGCCCTGAGGCAAGCCGGCTCCCCAAGTAGAGGGGCACGCCCCTCAGTGGTGTGACGTCAGGGGATGTCCTAGTCCGGGTAACGCACGTCCACGAGCGCGGGGGCAAGCAGGGTCTGGCTGAAATACAGTTTCATCTTCACAGTCTCGCCAGGGCCAGTTTTTGACCCGTTCCTGGTGTTAATTCGGCCCTAAGTTTTCGGGCAGTGGCCTGAGTTTATCTGGGTAAAATAGCAGTGGTGTGGGGGAGAGTGTTGCTTTTGCATGCTCTGTGGGAATGTTGTATTGAAATGTCGTCATGGTGCAATGTGCTGACGTTTTGCAGAACCTGGAAGTGCTAATATTCATGTAAATCTTGATTCCCTGCTGTAAGATCTCTTACCGGCATTTAGTTACTACCAGAAATATCAGCATAGAATAGATGATTGCGATGTGTTGTGGTGAGCAATGTGTGACTCATGGCTGTATGTCACTGTTGCGTGTGGAGGTGTTTCCCAGGACCTGATGTGGATCACTCCTCTAGTCTATATAAATGATTAGAGTGTTTACAAGATGCTCCTATTTATGCAGATTGTTGGAGCTCTCAAGTTATTGGCAAGCTGAAAGTCGATTTTCCTTAGGATTAGTTCTGGCATCTTTCACCTGGTAAATTAGAACATATTTTCCTTTTCCCAGACTGTAATGTCTCTCTCAATTAACTGTAAGTGATGTAGCATTTTTACCAAACTGGCTGGAGGATTGCATCTCTATCTTGTGTGAAGTAGATAGGAAAGATGAGGGGCTCAACCACTTAAGTCAAGGGCTGATGATGAGACATTCAGGCTATGTCTACACTACAAGGTTTTTGCGCAAAAACAGCTGAGGAGCGTCCACACCTCAAATGAGCTCTTTCCCAATTAAATGGGCAGTTAAACGTCAGAACAAAGGGCTTTATCCGCCATAGGTAAACCTCTTTTTCTGAGGCATAACTGCTTTTAGCACTACAGCTATTGTGCAAAAAGTCCAGTGTGGACGCTCCAGAGGGGTTTCTTGTGCAAGAAACTCCTATGGAAAAAACACAGGTGCTCTGATGGCCATTCAGTGTGGATGCTCTCCTGCACAAAAGCACATGGCTTTTGCGATGTGCTTTGAGGTGTGGATATGCTCTTGCACAATAAGTTTTTGCGCAAAAACTCCTGTGCAAAAGGGTTCTTGCGCAAGAAGCATGTAATGTACTTGTAGCCTCAGATTCCTTCCTTCCTCAGTGGTAGTGCTGTTCTGGGAAGTTATATGACTAAAGAAAAACCTTAAATTCCTTTCTAGCATCAAAAATAATAGTAATGATTACCCCTAAATATAATTAAAACACTTAAATTCATATAGGGTTTTATATGAAACTTTCTAAAAATACATTTAAAATTTTGTTTTTAAACTCATTGATAGCATCTGAAGTGGGTTGTGATATGAGATCTTTCATTGGTCTCTTTTCTCTCTCTTTTTTGTTCAGTGCACATCCATAAGGTTATAGAAACCTCCTTCAACGAGGCATAACTTCTTTTTGCGCAATAATTCTTGTGTGAAAAGGTGCGTGTGGACGCCCAACGGGAGTTTCTTGCCCAAAAAGAGCCTATTACCAAAAGCACAAGTGCTCTGATGGCCATTCTGTGAATGGCAACCAGAACTTTCTTGCGCAAGAGTGTCCCATGTAGTGTGGACGCTCTCTTGCCCAAAAGCACATCACTTTCGCGATGTGCTTTTGAGGTGTGGACACGCTTTTGCAAAAACCTTGCAGTGTAGACAGAGCCTCCTATTCTCCCTTCCACTCCTCTTGTATGGGTTTTCCAGATGAGTTAACTACAATGATGACATGAGTTGAAGAAAAATAATTTAAAATTACTTACGTTTATTTGGCGCTGGTGAGGCCACATCTGGAGTATTGTGTTCAGTTCTGGGCCCCCCGCTGTAGAAAGGATGTGGACGCATTGGAAAGGGTCCAGCAGAGGGCAACCAAAATGATTAGGGGGCTGGAGCACATGACCTATGAAGAGAGATGGAGGGATTTGGGTTTGTTTAGTCTGCAGAAGAGAAGAGCCAGGGGGGATTTGATAGCAGCCTTCAACTTCCTGAAGGGAGGTTCCAAAGAGGATGGAGAAAGGCTGTTCACAGTAGTGATGGATGGCAGAACAAGGAGCAATGGTCTCAAGTTACAATGGAGGAGGTCAATGTTGGATATTAGGAAAAGCTATTTCACTAGGAGTGTGGTGAAGTACTACTGGAATGGGTTACCTAGGGAGGTGGTGGAATCTCCATCCCTAGAGGTTTTTAAGACTTGGTTTGACAAAGCCCTGGCTAGGTTGATTTATTTGGGATTGGTCCTGCCTTGGGCAGGGGGCTGGGCTGGATGACCTCCTGAAGTCTCTTCCAGCTCTATTATTCTATGATTCTAATTTATAACTCAAGTGCTGCCACAACTCAACTCCCATCCACATATCAAAAACCTTACCTCAGCATATGCTGGTGCTAACTCAAGGTGACTAACCTACCAGAAGGTATTGGCTACAGCTCAAGTTAGCATATTTTGTCAGCTGCCAACACAGAAGTTGCTCTACTGCTAACCCAGGTGTTCCCAAACTTTTTGCCTGTTTGACCTTATTTTGAGATTTACAGTTTCCTGTAATTCTAGACAGGAACAAAGCAATATAGTTACTGAGGAATCCATGGAATTTATACATTAAATACATTATTTAATATGCTTTAATGAAATAGATGGGCTTACATGTTGCAACACAACCTTTTGAAGTCTAATGGTGTGATAGAAATTGCACATCTAATCTCCAATATGCCATCAACAGTAGATCAATTCTGATACTTGCATTCAGCACACTTGAGCACATAGTTGTACAAAACTGATGGACACAAGAATGACACCATCAGTGTGAAGGCTTATGTTGAGAGTGCAGGATATTTATTCTTGACCATGAATCAGAACTCTGGGAGAAAAAGTTGGGCATGTGTTCCTAGCAAGAATCGATTGCAGGAAATGCAGATAAATTTGCAAATCCACGGCATCAGGCTTGCGGTGAAAGTGATTTCACACCCAATAGTACTTTGAGCCCCATCTAGGTTGGGGAAAAAATGCAAACTCTTCCTTCAGCTGGCTGAGATGCTGAGCCACCACTTGTGTGGGAGGCTGAATAATTCCATTGTGAGTCGGAATCTGCAAAGCTTTGGGAAGGAGTAATAGTTTATCTTCAACAGATTAGTCTTCCAGAAAAAAAATTCCTCATTAATCCTATAATTTGATTGAAGGATATGGGCATTCTTTTCTTGCAGACTGGTATTCAGTTTATTCAGTTTCCCGAATATGTTTGGGATACTGGTAAGAAGGCACATCATCCTTTGATCACATAGAAAATCAATGAACTCACTCTTCATACATTTAAAAAGCCGGCTCCTAATACATTTAAAAAGCTGGTGCACAGCAGGGGAACGTCTCGCATGGGGTCTCCATCGCTGTGCACCAGCCGTGCCGCTCCCTCAAGCGGAGATGCAGCGTTTGAGACTGGGCACGAACCAGGAATTAGCTGATGCCCATCTCACACCGGGTCCCTGCTACTCCTCTGCCTCCCCTGACCCCCACTGAGACAGTGCTGGGGGGAGCCAGCTCTTAAGCTGGCTCCCCACAGCAACAGCTCCTGCTCTCTTTGTGAGTGGGGAGAACTGACTAGTCGAGAGACTAGTCGACTATCCAATAAGCTTATGCTTATCAGATGGTTGACTAGTCGCTGACATCCCTATTGCACACACCATACATCTGAGGTAACACCATGAAGAGGGCACTGTTTTGTAGAGAAAAATGACAGTCTCCTGGGATAGCATTTGTGGAGCAAGTCTGCACAGGTTCGGGGGCATATGGCATTGTCTTGCAGGCTGACTCTGGCCCCTTGAACATGCAATCTCATCTGCAGATAGCATGATCCCATTTGTAGAGCTCTGCATGGATAAAAATGTCTGTTCACAAATAGACATCCAGTCTGCAAGCCGTACTCTATCGACAGTGAGGGAGGAACTGCTGTCACAGGGCACTGGCTCCCGGGCTCCTCTCCATTGGCCTCATTGGCTCTCAGGAGTAGAGGCTTGTGGATCGTAATGTGTATTTGGATAGATGTTTCTATCCATGTGAGGCTCTACCTATTTGAGATTGTGGCCCACAAGTTGGAAATCTCAAAACTAACCTCTTAAGATCCCTTCCAGCCCTATATTTCTATTAATATAATTTTGCAGCATGTCTGCTCTTGCTCAAACTATGCTAATTAAAGAAGTGTTAAGTCTTAACTCAGTTTCTCTCTGCAGAGTTTTTGTTTTTTGTTTTTTTTTTATTTCAATGATGTTGAAATATTCCTGAACTTCGAAACCTCCCTTTACAAAATCTGCAATCTTATCAACCATGTATAAACCTTAACAGTTGTTTTATCATTAACCCATTTTGGTTAATTTCCAAAGGCTAAATCCAAATTAGCTTCTGATCTTTTGGGCAAACATGTTTCTGGCTTCCTGGTGATTTTGCAAGGCTAATTCCAAGTCAGTGTTTGGATATAAATCCACATGATCGGTATTCTGGCCTTTTTAACAGCCCTTCCTTTGCCTTTATGAACACTTTCTGCTTTGCTTTCTCCTGCAATCCTGTAGTTCTCTAAATGTTTCCTGTCACTTGTTTGCCATTTCTATCTAAATTGTTCACTAGTCTGATATGTCATGTATGTTATAGATATTTTGAATATGTGGTTTGTTTTCCCCCCAGATGGAATTGCCTCCCTCACCCACATAGTCACTCCTCCAGTTAAGCTGCCAGTTTGGCAAATGTTGAGATTTATTTCCTTCTGCCATCTCTGGAATCTTCTGTAACTTTCATGAAGTCCTGAGGATTGCCTCGATTTACAAATTTTTCCAATTGAACAGCATCCAAATGCTGACTCCACTCCTGGTGAGGTGGCTTTGCTGTGGCGGTGAAGCCACGTCCCAGGAACCAGGCAGGCAAGGGCTATGTGCTTTGCTTCCAGAGAGGCAGCTTTGCTGCTCACCAGGAGCCGGGCGGGCAAGGGCTGCCCGCTCCACTCCCGGAAAGGAGGTATCCCTGTGGCAGCGAAGCCTTCTACCTGGGAGATGGGCCAGCAGGGGCTGGCAGCCCTGCTTCAGAGGAGGCTTTGTTGCAGCCTAACGTTATATTGCAGTGCCCTTAACGCATGTGACAGATTTTTAGCAGTTACATGGTTACCATGTTAAACCATTTTTAACATCTCTAATGTGGAGTGGATGGGGATACAAGGGGAGACTGAGGGCTACAGATGCATGAGGATGTGGGGAACTCGGGGATCTATAGGGACATAATGAGAATGCAGCAATGTATGGAGGTGAATGGGGTGCAAGGACATGGGGGGTGAGGGAGATGGGAATGGTGACTCTGGGAGGTGGAGAGGATGGATGGTAGAGAGCTGTAAGGGATACAGGATTGGGAACCATAGGTGAGGGGCAGTGTTTCCTGTAAGCTGTGCACTTGGGTGGCCACCTAGGAGAGAATCAAACGCCACCCAACTGATTAGCAGAGTGCCCGCACTCGGCAGCATGTGTTTCTACTGGTGGTTCACATCCACACATGCCTCAGTGTACATACATTTATTCTACACATGGGTAGAAAACTGGGAACATTGGTGTAGGGGGCGAAATAGGATGGGAGGAGGGAGGGATGCAGTGAGGGGGATGAGGGACAGAATGAGATGGAATGCATAGGAATGTAATAAGAGGTATGGTGGGTGGGAGTTAGGACGGGGAGTGATGCAATTATGGGATTATGATGTCGGTTATGCATAGCAGGATGGAGACCAAGATATTTTAGCTACTCACAGATCAATCAAGGCTCCCAGGGAACAGCAAGTAGTCTGTTCATGATGCCAGGCAAGAAATGCTAAACTTGACTTCCCCCAACAGCCCCACACTGCATACCAACCCCCACCCAGCTGCATTCTGCTCTCCCACTGGCACACACTCTCCTTGTCCTCATCACCCAGTGTGCCCCTCTCCCTTTTTTCCTCCAAACACTTCCCTTTCCAGTGTGTGTCTCTGCTCCATCTGCCTCCCTTCAGCCTCCCCCTCCAAACACTCCCCCTGCCCACACAGCACTCTCCTTTCTTTGGGCTAGAATCAGCCCATGTTTCCCCCCTCCCCGGCTGCAATCAGAGCCGGTCCAGCGCAGATCCTCCTTTCTTTGGGCTAGAATCAGCCCATGTTTCCCCCCTTGCTGGCAGGGTGTTGATGCCCTCACCCCTGCACACTATTGTTCCTGTCCCCCCCCCTTACCTCGGTGTGCACTGCACAGTAGGGATGTTAAATATCGGTTATTTGAATAGTCCATTAACCTCATTAATTCTTATCAGTTAGTCCACTATTCTATAGTCCCCAGAGGTGGGACTGGCAGCCCCTGACATCCTGCACTGCTGCCTCTGTACCAGATAGCTCCCCTTGTGAATTGGCTGCCTGCCACCCAGAACTGCAACAACCCCTGTCCAGGGATAGGGTCTTAGCTCCCAGACCCGGCGTGAGCTGGAACTAAGCTGTGCTGCTGGCCAGTCCTCTAAAAAAATTACTGCTGGGAGGAGGCGGAAAATGTATGTCATCTGTAGCGTTAACCTATAAGCTTTTGCTTATCGGTTAATCGACTAGACTATTACATCCCTACTGTACAGCACCTAGGATTACGGCCTTGACAGCACTTCCGGTGAGAGGGAGGAAGGATCTGGGGCCAGGCACAATGCAGGAGGCTGGAGTGTCCTTTGTTTTCAGGCTGTTTTGAGCCTGCCACAGGAACTGGGAGACAGGGCACCAGGCAAGAACAAGTGGGACAGGAGTTGCATGCTGAAGCATGTCAGCTAGGAGAGAACCTGCAGCACGGTACAGCAGTGTCACAGCACCACCAACAATACAGTCAGCAGCCTGGTCAGCATGCTGACTGGAGCCACCAGGATCACTGATTGAGCAGGTGTTCCTGTCCAGAACTGGACACCTAGTCATCCTAATCTACACTACTGACCTTACTGTGGCATACCGTAGCTGTACTGTACTGCTGCAGCTGTGCTTCTGTAAGGTACCTTTGTAGCTGCTCTTTGCTGGCAGGAGAGAGTTATCTTGTTGGCATAATTAAATCACACCAACGAATGGCATTATATATGTCAGGTGGAGAACCTCTCCTGCCTTTATAACGCTATCCACACCAGCACTTTTATCAATGAAATGTCTATCAAGGGTAGCTGAAACAAAATACAGGACTATGTAGGGTGTGATTTTTTTCACAGCTCTGACCAACAAAAGTTTTCAGACAAAAATGCTAGAGTAGACCAAGCCTAAGTGTGAGGATCATATTCACAAAAATTCAGTCTTACAGCAACTTGTTTATAAAAATAAAATATGATCACCCATCTTTAATTTTTCAGCAAACAGGTAGCTGAAAAGGAAGTCTTCATTTTACTAATATCAGTTATGTCTTACATGTGATGACAACAAGACTGGATGGAGAGATAAATTAGAATTGAACTCTTATTTTGCAGTACTGTATGACTTTTTTTGATCCATGATTTAAAGAAAAACTTCAACTTACTTTCAATAGTGTTATTTAATTTCAGTATAAAAATGAGAAAATGTCAGATTCAGTAAAATATCACTACTTTGCACACCAGAGATAACTGTTTCTCATCAAACAACTAACTGCAGCTCTTGTAGAGAGGTTTAATACTACTAAGACCTCATTATTTTCACAAAATATGTACTGATCCTAAGTAGCAAAGTTAACCATAATTCAAACACATTTGTTCTGTCTGTCTGGTCTGGTCTTTTTTTAGTCCTGTCTAACCTAATAATTTTCGGATGTGGAATTACTTGGATGTTTTGTTTCAAAAGAAAAGCTGCCCTCAAAATACATAAAACATGTAATAATCTTTCTTGGGCAGCTCCTCACATTGACAATAGCATTTCTGATTGATTTGTTGCACTTTATGTTTAGTTGTTTTAATAACAATCTTTGTCATTGTTGAGCCAAGACTTGTTCGATGAGCTTTTCATTGGTGACTTTTAGAAATCTTTCAGCAAAGCTGCTGGAAACGCGAGTCCTAGTATGAAATTACTAATTTATTCTTCAATTCTTGTTCAGTTTTAGATGGCTCTAGCTTTGCAAAACATTTAGAGTTGTTTCTGGAAATGCTTTCTCCCTAAATATCTTGTATCATGGTCTCTCCATCTCTAGTACAATACCTGTTTTCAATACATTCTTTCTATAGATATCAGATATTCACATCAGTAGGTTTCGGGATCCCAGACGAGTTCCTGACTTTGAAAAGTTCTGTTCTGAAACAATTGATATAATTCAACCGGCACTTGTTCTGGTGACAGGTAAGCAGTTCAGAAATTATACTTCTTCCTCTTGCTCCGACTTTGATAATATATTCACACAGGTAAAATGTCAAAGTCATCTTAGATAATGAAAATCAAACTGTAGCTTAAAAATCAATTCTCCCCAAGAAAATAAACTTTCTTCTGCCCAGAAGAATTAGCATTGTTTAAATGTATTCTACAAGTGTAAACAGGTTAGTCAATTTTTTTAATACTGCATGGGATTTTTTCGGGAGGGGGGGGAGCAAAACACCACATTTATTAGTAGCACGTATATCAATCAACACTTTATTTTTATATATATAT